AGCATGATAACTGTATCTCTGTCCCTTCACTTTCCACCTGCAGGTGTCTTTAGATCTAAAAGGAGTCTCTTGTAGGCAGTATATAGATGGGTCTTATTTTTTATGCATTCTGACGCTCTGTGCCTTTTGATTGGAGTGTTTCGTCCATTTACAAAGTATGTATGTATGTATGTATGTATGTATTTGTTTTTAGTTATTTAAGTGTTTATATTTGAGAGAGAGAGAGAGGAAAGGTGGGGGGGTGCAGAGGATCTGAAGCAGGCTCTGTGCTGACAACAGAGAGCTTGATGAGGGCTTAAATTCACAAATATTAAATCATGACCTGAGCTGAAGTTAGATGCTTAACTGAGCTACCCAAGTGTCCCCAAAGTATTTATTGTTAGATAAATATTTATAACGATTTTATTATTTGTTTTGTCCTTGTTTCTGGAGATTTTCTCTGATCCTTTTTTCTTTTTCTCTCTTATGTATTTTGCTTTTATTTGATTTTTTCTTTAGATACATTTGGATTCCTTTCTCTTTATTCTCTGCATGCTTATTAGTGCTTTTTAATATATGGTTATTGTTAGTTTGGTATATAAACTTTCCGCATATAGAAGTCTATTTAAGTTGATGGTCATTTAAGTTATAACCCATTCTTCTCTTTTCCCCGTGTTTTAAGTATATGTTATATATTTTATATCCTGTTTTGGGTGTGAGTTCCTTGACTGATTTTTCACAAAAATATACATTATCTTACTGCTTTTGTGTTTCTCACCTTTAGACTGTCATCTTTGGTCTCTTATTCCACTCAAAGAGTCTCCTTTATTATTTCTTGCAAGGTTCATTTAAAATCGTGAACTCCTTTAGTTTTTCTTTGTCTGGGAAACTCTTTTATTTCTCCTTCTCTTCTGAATGATAGCTATGCTGGATAGAGTATTGTTGGGTGCAGATTTTCCCCTTCCAGCACTTTGAATACATCATACCACTCCCTTCTGGCTTGCAAAGTTTCTGTTGAAAAGATCTTCTGCTAGCCTTCAGGGTTTTTCATTATAAGTTAAAAACTTTTGTCTTGATCCTTTTAAGATTTTTTTTTCTTTATCATTATATTTGAAAATTAAATTCCAATACATCTTGGTATCAGGCTGCTTTTGTTGATTTTGATGGGATTTTCCTGTGCCTTCTGGAATTGGATGTCTGTTTCCTTCCCAGATTAAGGAAATTTTCTTCTATTATTTCTTCAAATAAATTTTCATCCTCTTTTCTTCTTCTGGGGTTCCTATAATACAAATGTTATTACATACGATGCAGTCACTGAATTCTTTAAGTCTATTCTTGTTTTATATAATTCTTCTTTCTCTCTTTTTTTAAAGTTCCTTGCTTTCCATTACTTTTCTGATAGGTCATTAATTCATTTCTCTGAATCTTCAGGCTTACTGTTTATTGCATTAAGTGTTTCTAATCTCAGTTATTGCACTCTTCATTTTTGATTATTTCTTTTTGCACTCTTGTATCTCTGTGGTAAGGGTCTCACTAATATCTTCTATTATTTTCTCAAATCCAGTGAGTGGACTTATTATGGACTTATTATGATCATTATGTTAAATTCTCCTTCAGGCATGTTACTTATATCTGTTTCTCTTTGGTTTCTGGCCATGGCCTCATCTTGTTCTTTCTCTGGGATAAATTTCTCTGTTTTCTCATTTTGCCTAAGTCTCTGTTGCTTATTTATCTTAGCCAATAAGTCTCCTGCTCCTGAAAGTAATGGCCTTATGAAGAAGCAGTCATGTAGTGCGCAGGGCCTGGCCCTTCAGGGAGTGTCTCCGGTGTGTGCTATGTGCACTCTGCTACTGTCTTCTGGCTGCTTTATCCATCAGGCCAGTCATCCCAGAGCGTATCCATGCCTGCTGTGAGCAGTGTTTGGTCCCTGACCTGTATGTGGGGAGTTTTAACTAGGTATGCTGTGGTCTGCTTGTGACATAAGACCTGTTACACCTCCACCTCCACAAAACTCTTAGGTATGGTGTTGAGGTGTGGGCAGGAGTGTGCTGATTCTCAGGGGGAAGGGGCCCACTGCCCTGGAACTGGAACAAGCCTGGCTGAAAAGGGTAGTCTCACTGGACTGCAGGGGTGTCGGGCTTGGTGTAAGCAACTTAGGCAGCCTATGCTGTGCGGCTTTCTGCAGGTGTCTCTGTGTTTATGCTGAGAGGGAAGTGAGGGAAATGGCACTGGTCAGCATCTTTGTTCCCAGAGAGATCTCTCTATGAACTCTGGTTCAGGGATGTGCTCCAAGAAGATCAAATAATTTCCCCACTGTGTGCCTCAGACACTTTTCCAAAAAAAATTTTTAATGGTTATTTATTTTTGAGAGAGAAAGAAAAACAGCACAAGCAGGGAAGGGGCAGAGAGAGAGACACACACACAAAACCTGAAGCAGGCTTCAGGCTCTGAGCTGTCAGCACAGAGCCCAACGTGGGGCTTGAACCCACAAACTGACTTGAGCCAAAGTCAGGCACTTAATCCACTGAGCCACCGCTGCCTCAGATGCTTTTTAGATTGCTATTTCCATGTTGTCTGTCCCTGGGTTGTTTGCCTGACTTCTCTCCAAGCCCAGTGCAGTGCCCGCCTGGCTTTGTTCCAGCCATGCCTGCTGATCTTTAAATCTTCAGGCTTTACATCCCCACTGGTTGCAAGAACTCAAGAAATCCATCCCTTCTCATTTTCTAAGCCAATGGCTATGGAGAACGGTTTTCCCTGTGCATTCCTCTCTCTCTTGCCCTTCTCTGCAACCATGGCTTCTTCCCCTCTGCACCAGATAGGAATGCCTTTGTACTTTCCTACCTTCTTCAATGTGGCATCTTCTCTTTCTGTAGTTGTGGAGTTTGTTCAGTCAGTGTTTAGGTCAATGTCTGGGGCATTTAGGGTGATTTGATAGTTACCTAGTTGAATTCATGAGATGGGGTGAGCTCGGGACCCTCCTACTCTGCCTCCACCTTCCCATCTCTATAGTATTCTTTATTCAGCCCCAACTCTTGCCCTACTTTCGTATAAATTAGTTTTATTATGCTTTTTTCCCCTCTCTTGACATCCATTATCAAATTCTCTCCTCTGATATGTTCTTGTGTATTCTACATAGCTTCCTTGATCCCCTTTACCTAGAATAATCTTGGCTTTTTGAATTTTCATTTATTCTTTAAGACAGCATTCAAATTTAAGCCTCGTTATTAGAAAGTTTAATCTTAGAATTGTCCAAGTGGATTACTTTGGAGGTGATTAGTTTGCCATTCCTGTATAGTTTTAAGTTCAAATTTGGCAAAAATGTGGTGGAAGTATCCAAGGGAGACCTGATGAGCCATGTATTGAATATCCAGACTTCCTAATGTCTTCTTATTCTGTGATTCTATTAACTCCTTCCTAATTAGTCCAGGTAGTATTGCTCATTTTGTGAAATGCCTGTGACATACAAAGTTTTAACTAGGATTTTAGAACTAATCACATGCACTTGTATATTCTATGGCAATTTTATATGCATGTTTCTCATCTCTGCTAGATGATAAATTCTCAGAGGGCAGAGATGTACCATAATACAATCTATATCTCAGAGTGCCAGTATTTTGCTTACAGGAAGAACTACAAGTATCTGAAACAAGTCAATACATTTTTCAGTGACCTTCACAAAGTTTTATTTTACTTACTTCATCCACCTAACAGGTACCGGGTATGAGATGAACCAAGCTGCACTGACCATGAACATAGGCTGTATGGCACTATATGTCTCTAATGTCAGTGAATATTTCCCTCAGAAAATACATATAAAAACCCATTTGGTTATCTTATTTCTAGAAATCATATGTCAGACGTTTCACTGTTGATGAGTAAATAGCAATATACATTTTCTTTAGGTTAATTATGAGGGTGAACTGGAAATGGTTACAGTCAATTCTAGGATATGAAGGGAATTTTTCCAGTACTCACACCATGGCCATTATCTGATAATTATGCCACACTCCAGGGGGAACTCACATCCCGTGTATGTGTTTGTATTATGTTTCTGTCCATTTCAGTTTTTACAGATTGGGCCTGGGGTATATATTTGCAAAACAGGAAAATACTAGATCTTTCTACTATTAAATATATTGGCTGAGTGCAAAAATAAGAGTTTTCAGCCATACAGGGAAAAGTACAATATAAAATCTAATATACTGTTATTGAGTAGAAATTCACTTTTAACAGTTCGTCTTTTGCTCCTTGAAATATACTATATTTTCTCTATTCATATACAGGTTTAATTTTTCGTTCTCACCCTTTCTAGCATACATTCACTCACATACTACCTTGCCACAATTCCATGCTGTTTCTCTTTTCATTATCAAGATTAACCATCACAGTGATAAATTAAATACACTATTTTAACAATTATATTGCAATTTTTTCTTGTATCAGGTCCACTTCTTTTTAATTTTATTCACAAAGCTAGCACATTTTTTGGTGATTTCTCTCTATCATCATCACTACCCCACATACAAGGGGGAAAACAAGGCAACACTGAAAGTAAAAATATTAATTAAGCTAAACACCAAATTATTCCACATCTGGCTCAACAGCACTTTTTTGTTTTCTGTTTTTTGGTTTTGTTTGTTTGTTTTTTCTTAGGTAAGAAACAGGCTAGTATCTTGAAAGTCAAAGTTCGGTTCTTGGATAATTTACACTGTTAACACTTGGCTTGTTAGAAGGATAACCTCAGACTGTCTCAGATCTAATAAATCACAATTCACATTTTATTAAGTTCCTTAAGTGCTTTATATGCAAATTTTGGTCATGTGGGACATGGATATTACTTTATTAAAGATAGATATCTTCCAATATCTTTTGCTTTAATAGTCAAACTTCTTAGTTTTAGCTGATTACCAAGTTAACCATCAAGAGAATACATTTCTCAGTTTTCCTTGCACTGTGGTGTAGCTATGGGACAAAGTTTCTGGCCGGTGGAATATGCTTGGGATGCTGTCTGTGATTTCTAGGTTATACCTGGAAAGTGAGTGCAAGGGAACCCTCGTCCTTCTCCACTCGCTGCTTCCTGGTAGATGGTGATAGTTTCAGCATCTAAATTGGAATCAAAATGAAGAAGCCATATATTAAAGATGAGTAAACCAGCGCTGGACTACTACACTAACTATGAACTGCTTGGTGAGAAAAAAACAAAAATGTCTTATCTCTTTAAAGGGACCCCTGTTTTGTCTTTTTATTATTACCACCGTTTCATGGCTACTAACTAAATGTTGACTGTATTTTCATCATTTTATATAAACTACCCATTTAATGACACAAAAGAAGATACAGTAAATTGTATTTCTAAATTATAATGACTTTTTCAGTAGCTGAATGAATCATCTCAGTGCAACCCAATGATTAACCCAAGTCAATAACTATTTTATCTCTTTGGCAACTTCCAAATTCATACTATTTAGTAGCTTTTGAGTTAAAGCTATGTCACTCTTTAGCAGGTCAAACAATCAAAATATTACCAGGAAAAAAAAGTCATAAAACCAGCCCTGGAGTGTACAGCATAATTAAACAATTCTTTATCTTTCTGATTTTGAATATTAATTTTGGTCTTCTATCTTAAATCCCACATAATTGCATTTTTTCTGATTATACAGTTTTATACTTGGCAAAACAAACAGTATTTAACTTAGGGACTTATCTTTCTATAGCAGGAGCCCCTCGAGTTTTAGGACCTATCCCTGACACACTGCCCTGCATACAGAATACTTTCATTTCCGTAGTCTTTCCCTGCTTCAGTTTTGGTTTGAGCAGATGTTATTTTTAATACTATTTTTTAGAATAGTTTTAGATTTACCAAAAAGTTACAAAGATAAAACAGAGTTTCCTTATATCTCACACCCGGTTTCCCTTATTATTAATGTTTTGCATTAGGCTGGTATATTTGTTATAATTGATGAACCACCAGCGATGTATTATTATTATTAAGTAAATTCATTCAGCTACCTTGATTTTTACTTAATTCCCTTTTACTGTTCCAGGATCCCAACTAGTTTTATTTAGTTATAGTGTCTCCTTAGAGTCTTCCATTTTGTCACGGTTTCTCATACTTTCCTTTTTTTTTTTTTTTTTTTTTAACATGATGTTGGCCTTTCTGTTTTGTTTTGGTAAGGGGTTACTGGTTAGGTATTTTGTTGGCTTCTTCTCTATTGCAGTTTGACTGTTGTTTCTCTCATTATTAAACTACAGTGGTGGGTTTTTGAGAAGAAGGTCACAGAGATACAGTGTCATTCATCACATCGTATCAAGTGTACATACCATCTATATGATCTATGTCTTGATATTGACCTTGATCACCTGGCTGAAATAGTACTTCTCAAATATCTATTATTCTTTAGGTTACCTTTCCACGTTGTCCTCTTTGGAAGCTGGTCATATGCACAGCCTACATTTATGGAGTGGTGAGTTATGTGCCTCCTCTTTGAAGGTGGAATAAATATGTAATTTGAACAGAATTTTTATGCACATTTCTTTACTTTTTATTTTTGTCTTAAAGTTAATCTTATAAGATAATGCCACTTCTGAATATCTGGTAAGCATATTTTAGGAAAGCCTAATTTTCCATATCTTCAAATCCATGTTTAAAAAGACTAACGTAAATTTCTGCATGATTTAATTATGGAAATAACTTTTGTGGGCAATATACTAGTGTAAGGAAGATATTTTAACGCAACAGTTTTAACTAATTTATTTTTTATTTATTTAACTAATTTATTTAACTAATTTATTATTTAACAGTTTTAACTAATTTATTTTTTATTTATTTTTTTATTTATTTAACTAATTTATTTATTACCTAATTTATTGATTGCTCACTGTGTAAAAAGAATGGTTCTGGGTAGTTTCCATGTATTATTTAATTGGTATTAAAATCACTATATTCTAAGAATGCACATATTATTAATCTACCACTGGGGCTCAGAGAAATTAGATAATTTTCTCAACTATTCAAAACCATAAAAATAATGGATCAGGGAATTTAGTCTGGCCTCATTTAAGAAGGATTTGGTGATAATTATAAGATTGGCATTATGTATTCAAATATTATGTTAAGGCTAAAGCAGTTTATTCATCGAAACAGAAAACACATCAACTGAAAGTTTCAGCTGTGAATGATTTTTATTTCAATTTTTATATAATAACAACCTCATGGTCCAATCTGATCACCCCAAACCACTCAAGTTTCAAATGCTGAGGCATCCACATAACTTGGTCATCTGAGAATATATCAAGATTTATATTTAGAAATCTCAAATGTTTTGAGTGAGTCAAGGCCTCTAGGAAAAAATATAAGTTTTGTCTCCTCAGTATATCCTCAAAGATGATTTTTAACCACTCATAATTGAGGATGATAGAAGGTAGGTAAGTTTTTAATTTTGTTTTGTTTTTGTTGTTGATGGAATATGAATGAATTTCACACATGATTGAAACCTTTCCATTTGTGATCTGAGGAATATACAAGTGTTTCCTATTTTCATTGTACCAATTTACTAGGATGTAATTGCATAACAAAATTCACAGGCAACTGGAAAATTTTACAATGATATCATGGCAGGCACAGCATCCTGGAAGCACTTTTGTATATATGATTTTAATAGCCAGAAAACTTTTACTCTCAATTAAATGTACTTATAACTGGCAGTTGAAGAATTAACAAGACACCAGTCATTTGTACAGGTTTCTAAACACAATGACACTAATTAGAAATACTCTTGTTCCAGAGATAGCAAACAGGAGGACTTGTAAGATTCTGCATTAATGGAAACTGTAATAATGCATTTGATAGGTGCTGCATATAGAAAATGAATTAAGGGTCATTTTGCCATCATTTCATTTTTTATAAGAATAGTGCCTTTTGGCTAAATTTCATGTTAACAGTGGTTCTCATTTACTTTACTCTTGCAACTTCCGTTGCCCTAAAATAAAACTGAGATAAATTCATTGGACCCCCTACTTTGACATACAGATGTTAAGCCTAAAATTTCTGGGGAATTTAAATGGCTTTAAATAACTTGATTTCAACTATGTTATGATCACACTCTTATTGTTTAAAAAGATCAGTGTTAGATAACAGGTCACTGAAAGAATTAAAAGTCAAGATATTTAGGAGCGCCTGGGTGGCTCAGTTGGTTAAGCATCTGACTTCAGCTCAGGTCATGATCTCATTGTTCGTTGGTTTGAGCCCCGCATTGGCTCTGTGCTGACCACCAGATCAGAGCCTAGAGCCTGGAGCCTGTTTCCGATTCTGTGTCTCCCTCTCTTTCTGACCCTCCCCTGCTCACACTGTCTCTCTCTCTCTCAGAAATAAATAAAACATTTAAAAAAATTAGAAAAAGAATTGAAGGTATTTAACATGTATCTTTTCAACTAAATTGACCATTGTGGATCTCAACAGTGGCACATTAAGGTGCTTTTAAGCTTAAGAGGTAATATTTCTCTAAAATGGTTGTTAAAAAGAAAAATCAATGGCATCCGAAGTGTAAGCATATAACACAGTCCTCATGAAATACAAAATTGGATAGCTGTTTCCCTTCATATTACACCAACATTTAGTATATGAAGTATATGACTTTTCTGTTGTGAATTCTCTCACATTGTTTTTCTTTAGTGTTAAAACCCATTTGGGATTGATTTAGCTTCAGTTTGGTTTTACATATACATTATGTCCGGCATGTTGTCTGGTTTCTAAAGATTATGATGCCATAGTTTTCAAATTTAACATTCAAAATCTGATCCCAAACTACCAAATTTGAAGAGTTGAAGCCCTGATTGCAAAATATAAATGACTGAATTTGAGTTCTAGAATTTCACCTTAAGTACAACAAATCAAACATCAAAATTTGATACTCCTAACTATTTAAAAAACAGGCGTTGATTAAATAGCCATAGGATATCTAATCAACGAAATACCATGTAGCCATTAAGAGTTTCCTATAATAGAATAACATGAAATCATATAAAATGTTCATAAAAATATAGGATAACATGGAAAAACATTCACAATGGAGTCGGTTAAAATTTAAGATCCTAATTTCAAAAAGAAATAGTTGAAAATATGAGTAGATATATAGACAAGCAGACAGATAAATAGGTAGAACAAGGGAAGAAACAAAAGAAAAAGTTGAAATGGTAAATGGTAAGAGTAATACAATCCTTAATTTACTTCTTTGTGCTTTTTACATTTTTCCCTAAAATTCGTAATAAATTCTACTGGTATGTATTGAGAATAAAACAATGCTTTAGAAATTAAAGTGTTAGGAATTTTAATAGTCATCTCATGGTCACTTCCTTTATTTTGAAAGACCCTGAAATCTAGAGATGAGTGGCATACACTGCAGACAATATTGTGAGAAGGCAGCAGAAACCCGGCGTTTCTCCTTTCTCTGCCAATTGGTTATTTACTTGTGGGTCCTTATTAGGCATCTTGGGTTTAGATCCTTTATAAGCCAAGTGGTCTTAAAAGTATTTTATATGTAGGGTAAAATAATTTTTCAAATTCCCCGACCATTTGGGAACAAAGAGAAATGGTAAGAGACCTCCATCAGTAAAGACCGGCGTAAGTGCAGATTGATATATACACTGAACCACCTCACAATTAAGAGTTATAAGAATGGACTCAACAAAGGTCCATTTGTGTGACACTCTAAGGTTTGTATTAATATGTTTAAATCCCATTTTGTTTCTCAATTAAAGAGACAGGGCATTTTAAGTACTTTCCTGATTTTTGAAAGTCAAGTCTATCGTAGATTAATAATATATGATATATGGAAAGTGTCATTTATTGTTAATTGTGATGCAGAAATCAGTGAAGAAGGAGGCAGGAATTTTAATGAACACTTCTCCAACTCTTCTAACTGTTGTTGGATTGATAGCTGGGTAAGATAGAATAAAACAAATATTTTCATGTCAGGGTGAACTGGGTACAAACTTTACTTCATTTGTTTTATCTGTGACTTGGTCAGATTATTTAAATTCTCTGATTTGAACATTAGTCACTTTCTGTTAGTTACCATGTCCATGCTATATTGGGCAAGTTAATAAAAATTTCAGTGCCTTAGTTTCTATGTATGTAACACTGCCCTATCACTAGTATGTACCTCAAAGCTTACTGTGTGGTTTGAAGTGATAATAATAATACACATAAAATGCTTAGTATAGTGTCTAGTAAAAAAAAACAAAACACTCAAGTGTTATCTTTTATTATTTTACGGCACTGTTCAATATGGTAGTTTCTAGCAGTGTGGCTATTTATAGACGAAGAAAAATTTATATATAATTTATTTTAATTTGGTATATTAGACTTACAAAAGAACTGCAAAAAAAAAAAAACCAGATTAATCAGAGTTTCCTTGGATCCCTCATAATGTTTTCCTTAATATCAGCATCTCATATAACTATATGATTATCAAGAACAAGAAATTAACATTGGTACAGTATTATTAACTTAAGCACATATATTTTTCAAATTGCCATCCAGTTTTATAGTATTTTTTTAATATCTTTTTTTTTTAAATTCCAGAATTCTCCCCGACATCCTACCTTGTATTTAGTTGTCACACTTACTTGGTCTCATTTGGTATATTATAATTCCTGCTTCCCCTTACCTTTCATGACTTTGACACTTTTTAAGTTTACTGACCATTTATATACATTTATTTATTTATTTATTTATTATTTTTTTGAAGGTCCCTCAGTTGGGGTTGGTTTGATATTACCTCATGTTTGAAATGAGGTTATGCATTGTGTTTGTAAAAATAGAAGAGAAATGAGTTTGTGTCCTTTTCAATGCAGTATATTGGAGGTTCATGATACTGATATATGTCTTTTACTCATTTTACTTGCTTACCTTGAATACTTGGTTATGATAGGATCTGCAGGGTGTCTCTGCTATAAAGTTACTGTATTCTCTTTGTTGTTGTTAAGTATGTTGGGGGAGATACCTTGAGAAAATACATGTTTTTCATTAAATATTGTTTATCAATGTTATCTTCCTTGAGTGATTCTTGCCTGTAATAGTCATTATTGCTGTGTTTTGCTAATGATAAATGTATAGTTCTATTCTATTTCTACATTTTTAATTAGAATTCTATTGTGGGGAAGGATTGTTTATTCTCTAGTATGGATCCATGGGTATTTATTTTATTCTATGTATTAATATTGAATATAGCATCATTTCCTTTTGCTCCAATTACTCCAGCTCTGGCCATTAAAAGCTGCTTTAGCTTGGCTACTGATATTTATTGAATAAGCTTCCATCTTTTTTTGTTTATTTACTTTTTGGCACCAGAACCATATTCTAGGCTCATTATGAATATTTTCTACCACAACACTGGAATCAATCCTGTCTCTTAGGAGCTAGGGTTTCTTTTATTGGAGCATGGCTTTTCGAAAATAGAAAGG